AAAAAAAAAAATCCCTTTAATAGTTTTTTGTCAATGAACAAACTGATTTTGAAGAGTTCTGCAAATAATAAGATGCCCAGTCATCCTCCATGCATGCGCTATCCCCTCGCCCCATCCTACCCCATTGCTTATTGGACCTTCGGTCCCTGGGGGTAACCAAACTGGCTTCCAGATTACCAACTGGTTAGGTGTTTTCTCGCATCAAAACCACAAAAACAAACCCTCTCCTGCCAAACAGACAGGAAACTGGACAAATGTAAGATGAGTTGAGTCCATCACAGTTCTCCTGACTCTGGAGGAAGCTGCTCTTCCATCAAAGCCATGAGCTGAAGAGGGGGCATGTCACCTACCGAAGCACGCACACGGACCTGGTTCCCAAGCAGGGTTGTAGTCATAGGACTTGTCTTGCTCAGCTATAGGAACAGCCGCGTAGGTCTTCATCCTTCCCAGCTTCTGCACTCAACCTCCTCCAAGCTGCCTCCGACTATCTCTCTCTCTCTCTCTCTCCTTTCAGTCCGAGCTGAGCACCACTGAACTCAGGCACCAGTGTTCAGTCCTTATCTGACATCGACACCAAGGCTCTCAAGACACCAGAACACCACATATTCAATTCCATTAACAATGCAGGGCCCTGGAAACAAGAGGCCAGCTTGCTGGCCTCTTGTGGTCTAGTCATTCTAGCTCATGTGCTCGGAACCGTCTGCTCACTTTGTAACATGACTCACAACTGGAGAAACGGTGTCACTCCGAAGGAAAACATGCACAGATGCAGAGTTTATCCCTTGCAGTCAAATAAGAGTGGTTAAAAACAAGCTTTCAAACAAGTTGGAACATGTCCTGCAAACTGCTTGAGAAGAAAGGTCAAAGCTCCTCCTGAAACCTCTAATCATAATTAGAAATTTCCAACTCTGAAGTTCAGCTTTTCTTCGCTGTGGCAACAGAGACGTGCGCAACTCCTCTGTGGGGATAGTCTTTGGCGTTAAAAGGTCTGTATTTCAATTTACCATGGTCCAGCATTTTCCTCTTGCAGCCCCTTCATATGTTAAAGTAGAAAAAAGAGCATGGAAAGATGGGAGAAAATCCAGGTGTGTCTCCTCTGTTAGATGAGGCAGCCCTCTCAGCGGCGTGGTCGGATCAAGAGACGGCCAGACTGAATCCACCCGATGTGTTTCAGCCAGCCCTTCTCCTGCTCAAATGGGGCTGTACCAGATTCTTCCAGTTTCCATCCATTTTCAGGACACCAGCATGGGATAACCTGTCAGGGGACCATTCCCTCTTGATTTGTAAGGGGAGGGGGGAGCACCACCTTCAGTTAAGTACCCAAATCCTCAAACTGCTCCGAACAAGGTTTGTTGTTCAAGCTGAAAAAAGTGCAGCTTCTTTCGAGTGGAACGCTACATCTGGGCTTCAAAGATGTACCAAGGCCATACTTCAAACAATGATGGAGGCCAAAACAAAATCTAAATTTGATTTGATGGACATTCATTTAAATACTAAAATATGCCCTAAAACAGGGATTCTCAGACTGTGGGCCATGAACCCTTATGGAATCATGAGCAACTTGGGGGAAGTGGAGATACATATGAGGCGGCTCGTACAGGCAAAGCAGGAGAGGTGTTAAAATTCATTCTCGTTTTGCCCACTGCAAAGGTGGGAGTAAAGCCTGTAGCAAGCTTCGAGAAAGCTCCTGCTTTTTTTTGTGTAGTGGTGAAGGTGCTGGCCTAGAAACCAGAGATGGTGAGTTCTGGTCCCGCCTGAGGCACAAGAGCCGGCTGGGTGACTTTGGGCCAGTCACTCTCTTTCAGCCCAACCCACCCCACAGGGTTGTTGTTGGGGGAAAATAGGAGGAGGAAGGAGTATTAGATATGTTAGCTGCCTTGAGTTGACCAAAATATAAAGTATATATTTAAAAAGGTGGGATAAACATCTAATAATAATATACAAATCATTGGTTTTATCCATAAGGTACATCCAAGTTCTTTTATTTTAGGGGATTATGGTATCATGAAGCTTGAGAATCCCTGCTGTGAAGCATTTCCAAGTCACTGTCAACTGAATACACTTTAAGCAAGCTTTGGGGATGACTGTTCTCTGAAACAAGGGATCTCGGCTGAGTGCTTATGTCCGGTTCAAAGGAAGGCACTTTTGATAATGTGGAGGAACTCATAGCATCACGCAAGCTGTCAACGAATTGGCCTTCAACTATGACCTGGCACAGCTTCCGCAAGTCTCCACACTTTTGTACACAGTCTCTGCTTTGCACATGACGCTCCACTGCTCTTCGGCTGCCTTGAAAGATTTCAGTCCCTCCAAAGCGGAAGTTGCACGGATTTATTTCTGCGTTCAATGAAAGGAATGCCTATTTATAAAAAGGAACCCGCCACTGGGTAGAGCCAAGCAAGAGATGTGGCTGCCGACAAAAGGCTGTGGGACTTGTTCAGGCAAGACCCAGTGCTGCAATGCTTCAAGTGGGATCTAAGTTTCATCCTTAGAAAACATGTTGGAAAGATGGAAGTCGAACGCATCCATGTCCATCTGTGCAATCGGAGAAGGGAAAGCTGCCATTCACATGAAACCACTGCTTTTCCTTTGCAAAAAATATTGTTTTGGAAAATAAGAGGATACATGTTCAGAAATACTAAAAACAAAAGAATGCATGCAAGTTTAGGTGAAGCACCTATTCCAATTTCTCTCTATGTCGAACTATTTCACTGCGATTTTGAATCAAGCGGCTGTTTCTTTTCTTCCACAGGCTTCGGGTTAAAGGGTGAAAGTGTTTCTTGATCTCTCCCACTTTTATGACAGCAGAAGTCAAAAAGTTTATTCTACTTTAACAATAAATATCCACGTTACTCAACTGCCCATTCACCGTACAAGCTTCCTCTGGAGCTGCAGAGGCTCACCACAGCTTAAGACGCAGTTTCATTCCCCTTAAGGATTCTTTTAACTGCTGCAAATTTTTCCCAAGCAAATAAAATTGCCAACACCTTTCCAGATAATAATTACCCAGACTCTCAGTTTCTGAAGATGTGAAACCAGGGATTTATCTTCAAAAATAAACACCACACCACCCCTGTCATTTTTTCAAGGGCTGGAAAAACTGACCCTTACAGCCCCAGTGCAGGTTATTAACAGATTTCTATACTCACGTCCTGGCATCATTAATGTGTCATTTGGCCTCTATTTCCCACTTGGTGACAGCCTGCAAGAAAGAAGAAGAAAAAATAGGCCACGTCAGAACCGTTTCACTGATAATTGTCAGGGGCCTTACAACCAATTCCTGTTAAAGCTAACAACTCAGCATCTGAAGAAAAGCTCCTGGGCCCTTCTCTCTGACCGATGCCAGAGGTCCAGGTTTGGGCTGAGGGGCCGGTCTTCCTCTGAAATACGAAAGGAGCAGCCAAGCAGCTTAGGGCAAACTAAGCTCTTCTTCTGACTTCATTCTTCTCCCATCCAATTGCATGAGGTGGCCTTCTTGCTATCGTCAATTGTTCTTGCGATTATTATTATTAATTATTACTAACCATTTTAATTTATCAGCTGAACACGAGAGCCACTTATACATAAAGAACAATGAATCTCTTGGATGGTAGACTTACATCTCAGCCGCAGTTTTGTTCTCATGACAACAGAGTGGTGGTTGAAAATCAAGAGTAGATCCTGACAAACTCTGCAGTAGCTCAATGAAAAACTGAGGACGAGGATTTTCATCTTCCTGCATTTTTAAAAATCTCCTTTATTTTCCATTGCTAGTTTTAATACAGGGCGTGCATGGTTCCCAACCACAGAAAATGCCAGGTTCCTGTCCCCAAGGTCAAAGCTCATCTGATATCCAAGGGGGGAATCCGAGAAATCCTCTGTCCCCCTTGGACAGCCAAAGGGGAGCAGCCTTACTTTTGAAAAAAGAGCTATACCAGGAAACAGATGTGCTTTACTGCTCGCATTCCACTTTTGCTCCCTTCAGCATTCCTGGTGTTCCAAAGGTACGTATTCCCACACAAAATTCAAGAAGGGGGAAGAAAAACCACAGTGCAGAGCCAAGAAGAAACCTGCTTTGCACAGCTGTGGAAAGAGGCGAGGTGGGCAGAGATGCAAAACACAGAGACAGAGGTGGACGGGTGAGAACTGAGCTAACAACTTCCCACAGTTTCCAGGCCTCCGTGGATACAGTTTTGTCATCTGCGCCTGAACAGCTTCAAACACAAGAAGCCAGGTAAGCACAGAAAACCCAAAGAAGCCTTAATGACTGGGTGCCAGCCTCTCAAGGGAGGTCAGGTCAGGAAGCAGATTCCACAAGTTTGGCTAGAGCTCTACTTTATTGATCTAGGCTACAGTAACAGAATCTTGAGAGTATGACGGTGTTTTCCCTTCCCTCCGTCTTATACCAAAGAGAATCAAAATGGGGCAATCTTGAGCTTCTTTCTCATGCTACCTCATCTTCCCTGGCCTGAATCATGCTCTGCTAATGGCCTTTGCATTCCTTCTGCAAGGCCAACTCTGGTTTTCTACACTAGGCTTCCTCCAGTACTATGCCAATCAAATTAAAAAAATGTGTGAAATGGACATGGGTTCACATACAGTGATTTTTCCTCCCAGTCTCAGATTTGCCCACCCTGCTGGGAACACTGCTGACCTGAGCAGCAGAGAACCCCATCTTCTCTCCATGTAACCATTCCACCTGTATTCAAGGGAACAGTATTCAAGGTTCCCTCAAGCTTCCAGCTAAATATGGGAACCTGAGAAGTGGGCTGTGCATGCCAGGACTCTGCAGGTAGGGTTGGTGGCATGGCCCTGGACCATTTGCCATCTTTGGGCTTTTAGGCTGAATAAGCCTGTTATGAGGACCAAACTAATACTTTGGACAATTTTGGCCTACCCTTCCTTCTCCAACAGCTTCAACAGCAGCGTGTGCTGGATTAGATACCACTGAGATCCTGCAGTGGATCTGGAAGGGTATAACGCTAACTAATAATAAAACATTTAAAAATGAAAAATACATCCTTACAATTCTACGAACTAGGCTAGGCTGAGACATAAAGGGGGGAGTCATGAGATCTGAAGAGTAATTTTGCTGGTTAGAAATAAGGAACAAAATGAGAATATCAAAGAGCTGTGAGGTTAAGAAACAGGAGATAGCAATGCCATGCAAGAGCTTGCTGCCAATTTCTATGTGCCACTGCTTGAAATTCCTACAACCAAGATTTGCATGAGCTGAGAGAGGGAGGTTAGTGATTGTGCAACTCAGCACATCTGGGTTGTAGGTTAAGCAGTGATTCTGAGCAGAGAAGTTCAAAATCTCAACCAAAGCCAGACCTGGGGGGAACATAGCAGTGGGCTTCTCTGGTGCTTTCTTTGCTGACTTTCTGTTTTGCTGGGTGGGGTTGGGCTTAGGAGGTAGAATTCAAGAGCCAGAGTTAAGGTGTTCCTGAGAATTAGAAGGAGGGGAAGACCCAATTTTATCCCATCAATCAGATCCAAATGCTATTGCCAACACTTCTATAGCTAGATTGAATGATAAAGGGAATAAGGGACAGCCCTGCTTAATACCACTTAAAACCGTAATAGAATCTGAATTGCAACTGTTAAGTCTTATCTGAGCTTTAGTTGGTCCATCAACATGCTCAATCATCTTACAAAAGGACCCTGCAAGAATGCTCTTGGATGAGCTTCAGCGGTCACTAGCAACCAGCTGAGGTGCCAGGCCTTCCTCAAGATCTAGTCTGGCTCAATGGCATCAGATTCACAGTGTGGTGCCAGGCAATCTGATCTGCCTGAGGCACCCTTCCAGGTCTTCCAGTACCCGCATGGGATGTATCAGCTATCCATCCTCTCAATCAACTATTCCCAAAGTCTTGATGCAACAAGTGTATTTCAAAGGGAAGTTAAATGTAAGGCGAGGATTAGGAACAAAAGCAAGGAAAATACAAGAGCTATATCCTGAAGTGACCTCGCTTGTCTGGGGACGATGCTTGACCACAGGAGGAGAGCAGAGGCCGGATTTCACGAAGCCGCCAGAAGCAAAAGGAATCCAAATCCTACAGTCTATCAGGCGCCACTCAGGCGAGGCCTCATGGATAGCAGGGGTGACTCTGGGGGACACCTGAGCTTGACACAAGTTTACCAACCTTTCCAACAGCAAAGTCTAAGATGCTTTTTAACATTGCCTGAAATCCCTGTCATCCAGGCAGGGAGCCAAGCCGAATGCCCTAGCGCTCCCCTTGCCATAAGGCCAGTGGATTAAAGAGCTGGATTCACTTCCTGAAGAGACGAACGGCCAGCAGATGGGCAGCTGAGAGAGGGAGGGCCACAACCCGGAAACGCAGCGCCAAGCGTCCGTTTCTACAAAAAATAGCAAATAGACTTTTGTCCTTGGCCAGCCTTTCCATAGCACTTCCTAATCCTAATTTTAGGATGCGGTGACTGATCTGCAAGGCTCTTCCTGCTGTAGGCCTGCACGTTTAAAAATACAGTATTAATACTCACGATCCCTCGTCAATGTTATCAGAGACTGCTGCCGACAAAACGGAACGGAAACGGCAGCAATGCTGCGCGTGGATTTCAGTCAAGGCACTCATTTGAAAAGGATTTGGCCTCAATTTTTAATCCTGACCTTTCTTCGATTTAATTTAAAAAATGGGGGCCATCTGATGGAAAAAGTACACCACTGCCGTCATATCAGGAAAAAAAAATTAATCGAGCGTACATTCTATTTTCCATATTTCATGCGGCCAGGAAAAAGGTGGAAAAGAAGCTTCTGTACCTTTCTAAGTCTTGGTCTTTAAAATGTGCATAACTAACTGCTATTAGTGGTCAATTAGCGAAGCCCTGGCAAAAAACCGTTTTGAAGATGAGCAATTTTGAAGATGAGCAACCTCCTGCGCCGCACGCAAGAGGCATCAAATTCAGAGCTGAATTTGGATCACCGAGTCCCCTTCGTGAAAGAGCGCGCTCCTTTAGCGCTTCCTTCTTCCCCCAACCGGCCATCGACCGGGACTGTTTTCCTGGGGTTGGCAAAGCCTTCCCGTCCAAGGGGCGCAAGATGCTCGCTGCAACTCTAAAGCGCCTTTGACAACACCGCCGCGGCCAAAGGCCAGTTCATGCGCCGGGCTCAGAACCGCCACCGAAGCCTCCCCGGGCTGTGCCCGAACCCCGAACGGCCCCCTGCGACCAGGGGGACCCTCCCGGCGCACCGCCCTCCAGTGGGTCTGGGGAAAGAAATTGCGCCCACGAGGATACAGCCGAACCCCGGCCCAAATGCCACGCGAGGG